CTTCTCTCTACAGGAATTTTTAATTTTACAGTAACCCACTGTCTAGCTTGGACAGTTGTACTCATTACCGTTGCCTGTGTTAAACTGTTCTGCTTCAATGTCTGCAGAGGTAAGTTACAGTAGAAGTACCAATCTTTCTTAACCCTAAGTTAGTTTTGTAAAACCTAACAACAAAACTGACCTACCTGCCAGCTCAGTTTGTAATGCATTCTTTTTTCTCAAAAGACTCCAAATTTCCTTTACCTTGAAGGTTGGAAAATTGGAGTTTAACTGTATTATAAAGTACAATTACAAGGTTGTGCTCTAACAAAATTGTAGGGAGCCCAAAGGATCAAAAGCTTTTGATCTATGATGACCATAATCACTCTTCTGCAAAAGCCAACATTTTCATGCCTGCTAACAATCCAAAAAATTAACAAAGTAAGTTGCTTGGGGCCACTAAGCTAATAGGTATAACACAGGCCTGGAGTAGCATAGTGTACCAAAACCACGGAAGTGCCAGGTAGCTACTGTCGTACTAGGTACTTTACCAGGGACTGTTATAGGGAAAAAACAAAAACAAAAGAATACTGTCTGTGAACTCTCTTCCCACAGAGTCTGTGTCAGTTGTGAAAGATTTGGGGATTCAGTTTACTAGAGCAGGTGCCCTTGGGCTACAAACAAGTAAGTTTATTGAGCAACATAGTGTTGTTGATGTGATAATTAATAAAGTCATTGCCATGGTATGAACAATATTATTAATTTTACTCAATATTATTTATGTCTCAGTCATTAAATAAATTATAAAATCTTTGTTGGTTTGAAATCCTCATGTTTTGCTCCAGAAAAGATCTAAAATAACATGTAACAATACTAGTGCTTACATTTTCAGAACATAAATGACGTATGTACTATAAAATTTATATCAAGTCTTACCTAAGGCACAGACCATCAAAACTTGGTTTTATGTAAGGACAAAGTAATCAAAATAATATAACGACAAAATAATCAATACGTGCAAAAATGCCCCAAAGACCATATGACATAATAAAAAATTATGAATTTTGGAGCAACATGGGCTAAATTCCAAACTAATGAGAAAAGCTCAAAAGTTTATTTCATCCGAGAGATTTGGTAACCTGATGGGAGATTGAGAGATTCATGATAAATTACAGAACAACCCCACCTGAATAGTAGAGTACTGGCAATGAACTATTGTCCAGGTTAGTGAATGATGCACCGAAGGGATAGGTATAAAATTGCGACAACTTGAGCTGTTCTATAACAGTTGATCTAAAAGACGATTAAAAATATTGTGTAAGTGGAGGATTAATAAGAGATAATAATTTACAAGTGAGTATTAGGTTAATATAAGTGTCCCTATAATTAGTTGTAACAATAATGTTAAAAGTAAAGCAGTTTCCCTGGGCAATCATTTTTTTAGTTAATTATTTCTTATAATCTTTTTCTTGTGATTATGATTTAGTGCTGTTTAAAAATTAGCAGGAGTGTTTTCGCTTCGCCTCAAGTTTTTAACTCTGATAATACATGACTGCAAGTGTTTTGAACAGTTTCAAAATCTCTGATATAGATCAACTTGTTCTATGTAGCACTAAAATTTAGTTCTGGGGCTAGTTTGGTCTAAAAAATTGGACATAAATTTTATATTTGGATTTTGGATATAAATTTTATATCTTCATCAGATATGAAAACACTCATTTTTTTAATGATTTATCCTGCGCGCCATGCTCCACTAAATAATCGATAAAGTCACTATTGTAGCAAAAGTCTCAAAAGTTTCAGTGTTAATTTGGAAAAAAAAAAAGTTTAAACCTTTGGTAAAATACTATTTGAACGGAAAATATTAAAAATAACATGCCATAATACTAGTGCCTACAGTTGTAGAAAAGTCCGAGTGTACACCATTATAATGGTAGATGCCGTACATAGTATACCATAAGTAGATGTAGTGTAAAAGTATCCTGAATTCTCAAAATTGTTAGGTGTAAAATCATACATGTAGTTACTATTTTATTTTTACCGCACCATTAAATTGTGTTTAATTTGATGCTACTGACGCATGGTCATGAAACACAATATAAATTATTAGAGAAAAATCTGCAAGTTGTCCCACTTTTCACGGTAACTATCATTATTAAGTTATAGATGAGTACTCTTTGGTTATTATATAGTGGGTAGCAAGAAAAGTACACATTTACCGAGTTAGTTATAATAATCTCATTTTTACCTCTCATCATTTTAAAGTACACACAAGCCACAAGGCCCACACTAACACTCAGGTTCTACTCAGGTTCAGTTGTGAACCTGAGTACTTTAACACTGTAGCTATTACAGTATTAAACTGGATTAAGAGTCACATTTCCAGGATTTTGCTGGCATTGTTATGCAATGTTTTATGGAGCAGTTCTCAACTAGATACCAAAAGCTTAACTACACCGTAGCAACACACTGGGTGCCTAGTGTTACCTGTGAGCCGTATATTTATCATCTTAGAAACTACCATAAAAAGCAATGGAATATAATGAAATACTAAAATGAACAAATCTACACTTTAACTTAACTACTGTACACAAAATAACAATAATATTATAAAAGAGCTCTCTAATTTTAATTGCCCTTTTATTATTATCATGAAGCTATTATTATTATTATTGTTATTATTATTATTATTATTACTATTATTTTTTAATTGTTGTCATTTCTTTAAAATTTGTATTTCAGCACATATAAGCACTTAAGTTTTCCATCCTGAGAAAAAGTTGACCTAAAAGCATGTGTGACAAGTGACAAACAAATGTGAATTACTCACCTTGCATAATTGGATAAACTGCTTTGTGATTGTACGGTGACTAGTACTAGCTGAGGGCAATGGCATAAAAGTGGTAAGAGCACTTACTTCCCACCAATTGGCCTGGTGTCAATGCCAGGTGACGGCTTAGTTTGAAGTTGGTTTTTATCCTTGTTCTGGGCCAGGAGGTTTCTTCTCAAGGTAGACCTCACAGACCAGAACCTCTGAATTCCAATCTAATTTAGAAAAATGCACTCAACACATGCAAATGAGTTCTTCAGAGCTCTTATCAAATCTGGATGGCTGAACAAATTACATTATATTTTTTCTTTTTACCACTTTTTTCCAAGACCATGCAAGCTGTACTACCAAAAAGAATAAATCAAAAGAGGTTTTTTTTAAAACATCATGCCAGAGAAATTCACCTTGACAGACTCATAAGTTGTGTATTCTTCATATCATTCTCTGCAATTGATACTTGGGGTTGTAAAGTGGAGAATATCAAGCAGAGTTAATACAAGACAGTCCAGGGACTAACTGGTTCTAAAAATCTTAAGGTCAGATTTAATGACTATAATGTTCGACATTCATCCCAGTCAAGCTGTCTTTCAAAAAGTACATTTTGCCAGGTGATGTAAACTTAAAAATTCAGGTGATTGATATAATTATTATTATTTTAGTATTTTGTATGTTTTTATGTATGGCAAGATGCCATTTTGTACTCAGGAATTCTATATATGAAAACAAACAAACAAATAAAACAAAAGCAGTTCGAGAATTTCAGGTGAAAGACCCAATTCCATTTGGTAAAATAGTGTGAAACAGTAAATAATGGTACTAACTGAAGGGGGAAAAAGTATTGTCGAGATTCTTTGACTGGTTGCATGATATGCCTATGATAGTTCCAGACATGTGTATATATTGTTTAATTCAGAATTTTTATGGACACTGGCAGTGAAAGGGATGGGCTTGGTCAGTACATACAGAGTTACAGAAATATAACTTGACGTGGGACACATTTTAAATTCTAATACGGTGGTGGTATTATTTATGCATAACATTGATTAAAATACAGGAACGTTAACCATGACAACCAATCCAAATCCTAAGAGATCTACTAAGAGTAACTTTGTCAAAACTGCTTTTTGTGTTCAAATCTTTAATGAAGTAATTACAAGGCATACTATAAAATCAGTTAATTTTTAAAAAGAAAATGACAATTCAAATACTGAACTGAATAAAATGATAACATTAAAAGAGCCGATACTTTGTGTCCCTTATTTACTTTAATTTGTCATTAGTCGAATCCCGCTTTACGAACACCCGCTTAATACAGACATCTCGTTATTATGGACAGTTTCCCTTGTCCCTAGCTCTTAGCTCTTATGTTTTCTCTAAATTTAACCCTCTTTAAGGACACTCCGTCAATACAGAATGTTAATTTGTTTAGTTCACTTATACAAAACTTTCCACTTAAAAAATCTTTTTGTTTTCACTCAGTTGTTCTATAAAACAAGGGACCAAACTTTCTGTTAGCCAAAGATTATTAACCAGCTGCTGTTCAGGAAATGCGCCTGGGCGAAGACTTGACTCGAGAAAACAGCAGAAACTAACCCTAGCTTTCTCTTGGTTTTATACTGAGGCATAATCCCATATTCCAGCATGGTTTATTACACACACCAGTAAACCTGAAGTATCATACGTTTCGATACAAATTGTCTCGATACGACCCTCAAGCAGTTGTAAAATTGAACAAAAATTTTGATCACTTTAAGTATAGTTTTTGCGTGAACAAGAAAAACATCTGGGTTGAATATTCTCTGTTCTTGAAGCCAAGCACAATAAGCTATTTACACCTCGACTGAGTAACTGGTATCCAAACGACCGGTAACCATTATCTGTGAAATGATTGTTCCCAAGGCGACGAAATTTGGCAGGAAGACAAACATTGTTTACTACAATTTTTTTCCTACGAATGCCAAGTTAAGGTATCACAATGTTGATTAATTACCATTTAAAGGTTTTAATTAATTCTACCTATTAAATGGCCGTCCGCCATTGTTAGATTCAACTAGACGATCAGAGATAACAGGTAGAAAATGGGAGGCAGTTATTGATCTTTCTTGTCATCTCAAAGGCGAACGGCAGATAAACAAAAACCATAAGGAAAGGTTGTAAAGCTTGAGTGTCGTGTTCTGATGTCTGCTATCTATTAAGCTCTTTTTTCCACTTCTTCACTTAAAGTTTTGTAATCCAAATCGCCCTCGTCGTTTGCTTGGAATTCCAGTGATAAACCAGTGAAGGACTTTTTGATGGTGTCTTTAGAAGATGCGTAAATCATTTTGTGACCAATCTTTGCATTTTCGTCACACTTGAAACAAAAAAGGGAGATGAGATGAACCAGCTCAGCCAGTTAACGGGGCTGGGTCGGCTCATGCTTTGTTTCAGTGTAAAATTGTTATTGTGTTTATATGAGAATGCAGGCTGCCCCGTTTGCCGAGATCTTGGTTGCTCGAAGGAAGATCTCAGCAAGCAGACTAGGGTTGGTTCACGTCATATAAACAGTTCCTAAGTAGAAATGGGAACTAGGCAATAAGGGTGTACTTCATCGTACAAACTAAAGCTAAAGAGATGTCCCAACACCTTCTTTACTTAATAATCTCTTGATGAATGCACTTTGATTAGTAATACATCAATTCAGGGAAGTTCAGGGAGCAACGGTGACGCAGGGGGGAGAGCACTCACCTCCCACAAATGTGGCCGAGGTTCAAATCCCGGCGTCCACTGACTCCGTAGAGTTTATTGCAGTTTCTATAATATTCTGGCTTCACTCGCCATATGGTTCTTAGTAGATCGATCAAGTTATTCAAATAGCGTGATGTCATTGTGACTTCAATTAACCGGATTAAGGTATCATTAATAAAGGTAATCATTATTTTTTCATCACTCCGGTAGATGTGAAAAACGAAAAAGACCCATAGCGTCCTTGCAGGCGTTCCCTACGCTCCCCTCGCGCGTCTTTCGCGCTTCTCGCGCGCCCGGAATCCTTTTTCCCTCCCCTTTAAAACGCCTGTCACGCAGGCTACCTATTCTGTTGCACCTTTAACTCTATTTACCTCTGAGATTTATTATTTTTACTAGGTTAATAAAAGAAAATGCGCTTACAACTCTAACTCTGTCAAGCTAGTAAATCCAGCCGAAAATGTCTTGAGACTAAGGGGAAAATTTTATGCCCGGTCACCAGTTAAAAATACAGAGAACAGCCTTACTCACCAGAAGATGAATGCCAACTTATTAACTCTCCTGCCATCCTTCTTCATGAATCCAAAATCATACAAAATATATCGTGGCTCATTGGTGAGTTGCTCCTTCATTCTATTGAACTGTGCTTCATCCTCTTCTTTTGTTTCAGTTTTGCATGGATCCCCACACACGTCAGCAACAATTTTCTTCTTTCCTTCAATGTTAAATAATGCAAACTTGTGTTTGCTTCTCATCTTCATATCATTAAACAAACCGTTGATTTCGGCGTCGACTTGTACCCCTGACATAGACTGTATCAAGGGATCATAAAAACACAATTAATCATCTAAAGTAAATTATTAAGGTATCAGAACTGCTATAAAGTCAAAAATTGATTAGGCGTTTATAATTGCTTATTTGAAATGTACTCTCAAACTGAACACAATGAAGTATGATGAATAGAAGTGGAGAAAATGAAGGACAAAGTTGGTGTCTAAGAGAGCTATTTTTGAAACATTGATAATTATTTTATTAGTTTCAAGTGAGCTAGGGGACATTATGGCAAAATTTTCTCACATTCTGCTTCCTCAAATAAAGAACGATTGCTTTGATCATTCCTGATCACTTCGGTTCAATGCCTGAGAAAAGCCTGGCTGCGAGTGTCTGTCAGGTTCCCTGTTTCGTATACAACGAGCTTTTTTGACTAAAATAACCCTGCTATTCCGACTGATGGGCATTTTCAAATTAAAAGTTAAGAACGGGCATCTACAATTTTATCAAAGTATTGTAACTACTTACCATTTTGATGGTTGATCGTGACTTTAATTTTCAAGACACCTTGAAAGGAAAGAAGTTAGAAATTATTTGGAGTCAAGCAAATTAATCTGCATATAGATGTTTAAAATAAACTTTGTGGAGCAAAGGTGTACATGGATATACCACTTCCTAGTGGAAAGTCTTTAAATCCATAATCAGTTGTAGCACCAAATTTGAACAACTTGAGCTTTCCGCTCCTAATGTGATAAACGTATGGACTCCAAAAAAAAAACTTAAAGTACGTTTTAGTATCGCTCCTTACCAGAAACTTGCTTCTTGTTAGCTGTCTTCCAACTCGATGGCTTGATAAAAACTCTTCTGCAGGTGCGTATATATATGTTCCCGGCGTGATGTAACATTCTATATTTATAATTATCCAGTTGCTCTAAACTGTGGGTTTCCTTCGCCATCATTATTTACTACAAATTAGGGCGAGCTCATTGTATCCTTTTAAGGGAAAGACACCTTGGAAATGAGCGCAATAAACTGTGCGATGCGAATTGCGTAATGATAAAAATTTGCATAAAACTTAATTATAAACAGTTGATTTGTTATTGTTTTATAGCGTGAATATAGAACTTGTCATGCAATAACTCTTCTTTAGCAATAATAATCAACTTCTAAATATATTTTACTGAGGGCAAATCGCAAAAGTAATTTGCGACAAGGTTGAAAATTTACTTTTTAATTTACTGACCGATCAACTCTCGGTCTAAAGGTTTGAAGGACTCGAGTACACGCGCTTCTACGGTGCATTATCTCCTTATATGGTTAATTTTACAAATTAGATTTTTTGAAAGAATAGTGACATAATAGATAAAGTAGCTTAAAGTTTTCTTGGTCCCGTCATAGTCCATAAAATCGTCATGAGCTGTATGATAAACCTATGGAAACTAAAGTCGTAAAAGGTTGGAAAATTAAAATCTTATTACGGTCGTAGAATTAAGCCTTTTCTTACATGTAGCTTTAGCACTTTAATTTTGTTTGTGTACTGGTCCGTCCTAGAAGAAAGGGGTGCCGGCTGAGCGGAAAAATATGTTTATTTAGTTAAGCTTTTTCATTTATTTATAATTTTTTGCACCTTTAACTGGAGTCAATAAACTTTTTAAGATCAAGTTTGCTTCGAAGTTTTGAGAAACAATCACAAGTTGACTGATCTCCATGTGATTTTTCGTATTAACTTTAAGTTTACCATTTATAACAGGTTTGACTGAAACAAAAGAATCAAGGAATGAATATCTAGACTTCAAAGAAAAAATAAATGATAGTTTACAAAGAGTCACTGAGATTGTGCTTCTGCTTGTGATGAAGCTTTGATGAACTTCAAGTCACATCTCAACAGGCATCGATTGTATTTCTTACGTATTTTTCTCTTATCAACATTAACCCATTCGCTCCTGGAGATTTTGCCGAAAAACGCGTTTTGAAGTTAGTCGAGTGGTTTTCTGGTCACTGTCGTGCTATAAAGAGCTAAAACTTGCCACAAACCGGTTCACAGGTCGCACACTTCGCGGCCTTCTGATCCAGATGCAAAGTATCAGCTTGCGAAGTTCGGGCATGCGCAGAAAGCAAAATTTCGAGAGTTTTTGGGTTTAAAAGTGACACAGCAGTCTTGACTTTTACTTTTCGCTTTCTCTCCCCCCTTCTTTTTTCGCTTTTCTTGCCTCATTTTTTTTTTCTCTTGCTGGGCATTTAGTAGGCTTCATTTTGGAAGGAAGAGTTTTTAGGAAAGCTTTTAGGATCTTAGGATTAGGAGAAAGGAAATGTAGGTGAGCAATGGAACAAGATTTTCATGGAGATTTTCAGGTCAATGTCACGTGGTTTTTTACTTTTTTCTCGGGTGTCCTTGACTGAATTGTGCTCATTCTGGTATGGTTTGAAAGATCTCTTCACTCTGCACAAGTTAGCGAAGAAAGTTGTCCTTGACCGTTAAAACTGATGACGTCACAAAGGGTAGAAAGGACCTGGATCCGCACGGCCGGTTACCGGCGGTTCAGGGGCGAATGTGTTAATTTTTTTTTTACTTTTGTCGTATTCTGGTGAATGCAAAAAAATAGCCCAAGTGAGCTGAGCTCTTGACTAGGTCGAGCTTTCATAGGTTCATAATCTATAACGGCTGACTTACTTATTGCACTCTCTTAACTTGTTTTCCTCAACTTTGTTTGTTGTTGGTTCTCTCCCTTGCTCTGAGAGGTTTTTCTCCGGGTACTCCGGTTTTCCCCTCTCCTCAAAAACCAACATTTCCAATTCCTATTCGACCAGAAATCAGGTAGACGAAGAACCACTATGTGGATGTGCTACCTGCAAATCGTTATTTATTTATTTTATTATTTATTAACTTTAATAAAGGGTCATTTACCTCATCTAATAGCCCTCCCTCTCTTGCCATCACGTGATAGTAAAATTGCCACCCTACAGTTTAAGTGACAGCCTTGAAGACAGTTCATAATTGGAGATAAAGAATTTCTCTCTTTGTCAAGGGGAGACGTACATTTGTAAAATCATTTGTAATATTCAAAGACACAAATAAATAGTTATTATGGATGTCTTAAAGAAAACACAAAACAACCACTGAACTTTTAATGCCCAATGTGCAAAATGCACTCAAAACCAATTTACTCTTTACATGATATTAGATTGAGCTAAAGCTTGAAGATTTTATTTTTTGGGTAAGACCTCCTTATATTGGTTCAATGATTATTTTTCATTCTTGTGAACTGTGTATAAATTCTTGATCAGTTAAGCAACAGTACATGTGAGGAAACAGTTAACAAACATGAAAAAGGTTTAACTTTTGGAGACATTATCATTTGGCTGGTGGAAGAAGAGGATTCAGGAACTCCAGAACAAAAGTGCCCCACTACATGGTCATACTATTAAAATCCTTGAAAAAGGACTTAGCCTTTGATCACTGGCAGATGCAATTGTCCAAGTTTGCCTTATTTTCAGGATTTGAATTCTTTATAGTCAAAAGATAGTTGATATGAAGCCAACTTGAGGATTAGAGCAAGCTTTAATTACTTTGATGGCGTAAAATATCAAGATGGATTGAGACACTTCAATTCAATTTAAAAAGGCAGGTTAGTATTTCTCTTGTTCAGGAAGTAAAGGGGTTTTTTCCATATGCATCGTGCACCAGTCAAGCCTGAATTAAACTATTTTGATTTAGATTCTGCATGCAAAATTTTGGTGGCCTAGCTAGGTAATCTAGCATGTACTTTATTAGTACAACTGATTGCAGTAGCTTGGTAAAGGTTGCTTCCCCATATAGGAATATAGGTTTGGAAGAAGAAGAAGAAGAGAAACCTCAGTTATTTTTTGAGTGTGTGTTCCGGTACAGTTCTTATAGTGAAACCGAGCGAGATGAAGCGAAAGAAATAACAAACGTCGATCATTCAGGGAAACCCTGAATAACCCTGAAACGTTGCGAAGTGCTTAAGAAATGCAGGAACAAATTTGACTGTTTCGTGTACGAAATGCTTTTCATAAGAACCTTAAAGCCAAATCTCAAAGTGCAATCGGACTATTACTCTATTCGTGCGAAAGTGTTTTCATAATCTTCGCACCCTGTTATGTTAATTTTCGCGCCACATCGCTTTAAATGCTGGTACATAAACGCTCCACACCTTGTCACTCGAAGAAATGTCCGCTTTACGCCATAATAGTCATGTTTTCTCTCCACTTTTTTAAACGACTAAAAACTGTAAGCCATTTTCTATGAGCCCTTCACCCAGGGTCATAACTGAAATTTGAAATGATGAACGTTATTCGGCATTGTAACCACTCAATTACGGCAAAGTTATTGCGGAAAAGAAGACCAACTAAGAAAGCTGAGAGCAGCGAAATTACTGAAATGTTTGTCCCCAATATGGAAACCAGCGGAAAATTGCTCAAGCTACGAAAGCTCGACGCGCAAACTAGACCAGCTTAACTTTGACAGCAACCTTAGTGAATTTATAATAGCAGATCGAGCGAGATTGTATCAAAACATTAACTACGTAATTATTTATATTGTCTCCTAAAGACGCAATTTTGTGGGTTCCGAATTATTTCCTGTTCTTTCAAAGCGGACTAATGATCCGTAAGGCGGCGATCAAAGGTGTAAAATCACTCAAAATTTTGCTGGCTTTTGACATGAAAACTTTTTAACGTTGCACGCAACGTTTACTTGTTTGCTTTACTGCTATAAAATAATAGGATAGACGTCTTGGAAGGGTAAATTGTCTACACTCGATTTAGAAAAACCCGTCGTCACTTGAAAAGTACAAACCATGAAAGATAGGAGTCAGTTGTTTTATTGGTATAATCAATAATGATAATTAAGAGTGATAATAATAATAATAATAATAATAATAATAATAATAATAGTAATAATAATAATAATAATAATAATAATAATAATAATAATAATCATAATCATAAGAATAATAATAATACCGGTAATAGTAACAATAATAATGATAATATTCTTCTATGGCGCAGCTACATAATATCAACATGCTTTGCAAATGTAAGAAATAGAAAAGATATATATAAACGATAAAAAAATTAAACTAGTCTAATAATAAAAACAATACAATGAAACTAAAATTACAGTCAATCAAATAAAAGACGTTTTAAACTTTCTTTTGAAAGAAAACCGTCAACGATTGCGCCTTTGAAATGTCTACTGGCAAGGAATTCCAGAGAGTAAGTGCAGCCAAAGAGAAATTCAGATCGAGTACCATATGCCTGGCTCTGATGATCAGTCTCGTGGATGCAGAACGAAGATTATGAATGGGATGATGAACCATGATCAGAGAGTGTCTAGCCATTATAATGTGTGTACTAGTGGAAAAACGCAGCATATCTCAGCGGCACACTAACGATTTGACTTTACGAGCTGTATGGCTTAACTATCATGTTTTCTCAGTTAAATTTGCAGGGATGTAACATTGCTTATGTTGGCAATGAAGCCCGCGCACTTTTAAGAGATTTCTGAGTAAAACATGTGCCCAAAGACGATTGTATGCACACTTCTCAGAAACCCCTTGGGTCTCATCGTTTATGTTTTATCATTTTCGAGTTGCAACCTTTGTCAATTTAATGACGTCTTATTCTTTTGAAGTGGCTTCTGTTCCTGGCCGGGGAAAGGTTCGGATCCACAAGTAGACAGTTCAAAACTTGGTTTTTTTACAAGGGAAATTTAAAACTTGTTTTAACAGCGCCGCGGGGCGTATTGCTGGTTTACAACCACGTGACAACCCGGCCATGATGTTGGACAAAACAATAAAAATTTTTTTGCAGAATTTGCATGAAAAAAGAATTTAGTACTTAGGGAAGGGAAACTCTTTTGTTTTTGTCCACCAGCATGGCCAGCGT